TTTTGTTTTTTTGAAGGACCACACTTGCGGTCTTTGCACTTGTGTACTTGCACGATGTAGGTATTTCCTGCATTTAGCCAAGTGTTCAAGTAGGTGTGATGACTAAGAACTTTGATTACCCAATGGGACAACAAACATGCAAGTGTTTACAGAGCTTTATTTAAATTTTTCAATTCTTTGCATTTTAAAATCAACAATGTCTGGTTAGTAGTCCCAATGTAACAAAAGGCATAATTAAAAAAATACTGGTGCTTTTAATAAGTGATTTAAAAAGCAGCTGCAAATGTACAAAATACACATACCATACTCATCTTTGCAACATTATAATGACACTTTAACAATGTGTTTTTCTACCAAATTACATGTAAAATGTAGTTCATTTAACTTGCAGTGGAATGTTTTCCTCATCATCTTGTGATTTCGGGGCATGTGAGTTCCCGCACCTAATGCATGATAGGATACGCTCCAATGCGGTATTCAAGATAGTCTACATTTAGTGCGTGTTCAGGGCATTGCGCGGATAGTAACAAACGGTTTTGAGTGTAGTTCACCCAAAATGAAAATTACTGTATGCAAAAAAATTCAAGTTTATAGAGTTTTAGTGTCGGTGGTACTACATTAAACTACTGTATTATGTTGAGTATAATAAAGCAATGAGGGGGATATTGTCAGTTTTGATAATGCAAATGTCCTATGTTACCAATAACATTGCAAGCATATTCATCTAAATATAATTCTGTATTTTCAGCTTCAGAATCATGAATTCTTTTTATTCTGGTGTCTGTGGTCCTGTGCATTGGTTTCCCAGCACCAAGTCCACAACCTTTTCATTTCCACTCCCAATGTATTACCAAATTTAGCATTTTAATCAACAGTAATTTCTTTGTTTACTTTTACCATATGTCTTGCAGTATCGCAATATCATTCGATATTCGGAGTTCACTATTATGATATATATCGAATCCTAACATGAGGGTATCGTTACACCCCCTAGCCCAAAAGCTACTTAAATGCCTAATTGATCAAAGGCCTATTCCTGGCTTAATCCAAGCCCTGTCTGTGAAATCAGACCTTTGAGATTAATTAACTTAAAAGTTACTTTACTAGATAGAAAAGGTGGGCATAAACATTATAAATGTGTAAATTAGTATAAAAAAAACTCAGTATGTGTTTTCTTATTGATTTTTGCTCAGATCTCCTCCTTCAGTGATGCTCCTCCTCTCTCGTGAAACTCCTCCTTCAGTGAAGCTCCCCCAACTGCAGTTCACCAATAAACGCTGGAATATTCCCCTCAGCTACAAGTGAAGACGAGCATCAAACCATCAGGAAGAGCTTACACAACACAGAGTTTATTGAAGGACAGTGAGAACATGAGATCCAGAACACTGCAGAATGAAACATACTGAAGAACAAAGAGGTTGGTGTTAATTCTTGATTCTGTATTAAAGGCACAGTATGCAAGTTTCGCCACTAGAAGTCGCTTATTCTAAACAAAGGCATAGCTTGATGATGCCGTGAATGAGCGTGGAATCATTGGAGGTCTCCATCCGACCACCGCTTCGTAAGGGCGACCGGCCCCGCCCACTGACCGGTCCCCGAACCCACTATTTGTCCAATAACCCACTATATTACCAAACGTCCCGTTACAACCCCAGGCCATGCTTCCATCCCACAAACTATTTGTCCAATACACTATATTTTTTAAAGTTTTTCCGCAGTTCATGCAATATGCTGCAATTGGACACGATCCCACCGGCAATCTATTGAATGGGGATTTGGGTAGTGTTTTTTTTTTTGGACATTTTAATTAAAGTTCCTGTCATGATAAAAACTATTTTACTGCACTCAGCTAGGGCCCCTGAGTCCGTAGCACCAAGCGCGTCCATAATTCCACCGTCCACGAACCAATGGCATAAATGCTACGTGGGATCTCAATATCTCAGCTCTGGAAGGGTCTAGAACCTCCATTTTTGCACTCAGGTCTAAATCCCATGGCCCTCTATCAGAATCCAGAGTTTCAAGAAGATTGGAGAAACTTTTTTTTCGCACCGAAAAAAAAACGACAGGGGTACCACTGTCGTTTTTTTTTTTGGAGTCGAAATTTTGAGTTTCTCTGATCTTCTTGAAACTCTGGATTCTGATAGAGGGCCATGGGATTTAGACCTGAGTGCAAAATGGAGGCTGACCTTCCAGTGCTGACATATTGAGATATTTATAATGGCATAAATGCTAAGTGGGATCTCAATATCTCAGCTCTGGAAGGGTCTAGAGCCTCCATTTTTGCACTCAGGTCTAAGTCTCATGGCCCTCTATCAGAATCCAGAGTTTCAAGAAGATTGGAGAAACTTATTCTTCGCGACCAAAAAAAAACCCACAGGGGTACCACTGTCGTTTTTTTTGGGGTCGAATTTTGAGTTGCTCTGATATAGGCCAAGGTCTGCTCTCTCCCACGCACGTTTACAGCTTTACCGTTAACCGTTTTATACCTCGACGGTTTATTTGCCAGGAGTTATTGTTCGGCTTAAGCAAAATGTGGGTTTCTATTATACTCCAGCGGCAAAGCACAGCTAAAGCCTTTAATATCCATTTATGAAGATATTCATTTCATATTCAGCGAAATTCATGAGGTAGAAATAGGGCTGAACGATTAATTGCATTTGCGATAAAATCGCGATATGATGAAACGCGATTTTGTAATCGCAAGAGCTGCGATTACACTGGTCACGTGACACGCGAGAGAAACAGTCTGCAAGATAAAAGCATCAACTTGCCACGCTACGCGGTTTGGCGTTCAGAAAAGAACAGTTTATTTTTAATGTATGTGATATTGTGTTATTTATTCTCTCCTCAACAATCCTGGATCGATTCAGAGAATTTCAGAATCGAGTCTGAGCTTAGTTTTTAAACACAGATGCGTGATGACGCTGCGCGTGCTTTAGAAACGAACCGTTCTGCTTGCTTCTATTTTCTCGCTCTCTCGCTCTCTCTCTTCCTCACTCACACACACGACACACGTCGAACCTTCCGAAACATAGTAGCGTTATTTCATAAAGTTCGGGATTGAACCGAATTACACAGGACATTCGCGGGCTTCATTGAACAGGTTTTGCCGCTTTGCTTGATGTTATAACGTTACACTTGCAGTGCGCGTTCTCTCCCGTGGGAATTTTCTTTACAAATGCTTCACAGAGGCATTATTTATGTCTTTTTGAATGCAGTTGGCTTATATTTAAAACTATGAAAATCACTGAGAAGGCTGATTTCATTTTTAAATACTAACGCGTGCTTTGTGAAGAGCGTCGTGCACGCGGCCGTAAGCGACTCATTGGTTAAATGTACTTGCATGTCAAAATGCTTTTTATGACGCGAAATTAATGTGAACACAGGTCAGTTATATCTTAAACCAACAGGACAAACCACATTTACAATTTCAAAGAGATATATGCATTAGTGTGAATGCAGCTTATCATATCTAAACTGAGGGGAAATCACTCCAGCTCTTGAATGAAAAACATTCAGACAGCCTACTTTTAAATACTGAGACCACTCTTTGTTAATTGCTTGTAATGCTTTTTTTGTTTCTCTTTATTTACTAGCTTTTATATTTTGAAGCTATAGTATTTTATATAGCCTATTTTAAAATTCTTAACATGTAATTGGTTTAATTAAATTGTTTTTTATTTTTTAAAGTATGTGTTTTACACAAGTAATTAAATACATATTTTAAGAGTTATTTAAGATTAATTAATTAGATCGGATCATAGCTTATCTAAAGATTCCCATCTCTACTGTACAATGATTTTATTGCTTGTCTTTGTCGACTAATAAGAGAAGTAAAAACTTTTTTTTTAAATCGCATATTAAATCGCAATCGCAATATTGGTTAAAAAAAATCGCATTTTTCAAAATCGTTCAGCCCTAGTAGAAATTGTTATTATAGAGCCCATGAAAGCCAAAATGAGCCAATTGAGAAAGAAAGTTTGCATGTGCCTTCTGTGAGCACTGTCTCTCCAACCAAATGCCAAAAGTATTTTTTCCAAAAGGAAGTCTACTGTTTTATGACCATTGTCTTTTCACACAAAATGACTTGATTATCAAAAACCTGATAAGCAAAGCCCAACTCATGCCATAGGTTGCAGTGTAGGGCTGCATTTTCATACCTGTAGGTCATTTTCTGTGTTCTGAAGCACGGATTTAATTTTTTACTCGTTCGGTTTGCTTTCACAAGGCAACATTTCAAAGCGTACCAAAATGTGTTTATGCAAGCCACATGTATAAACGATCCTCTTATTGGTCAGAGTCCAACCAAAGAGTATAGAAGAACAAGAAGCAAAACTCTGATGCTTTTTTGGTAAAAGCCACTAGGTGGCGCTTCAGGAGCGGGGCCGCCATTTTGGGGTGAAAATTCCAACTGGAGTTACTGGACAACAGCATAGATAACAGTTTTTTGAGGTAGTTTTTTCTTCTAATTTTTCCCAAGCGGCAAAATTCTAATCTGAAAAATGAAGCCTACCCGGAAGTGGGAAAAACTGCAATCCATCGAAAATCCGCTAGAGGCCGGTCCCAAAAGGGGTGAATATCCATAGACCTCACATTAAAATGTCCGTTTTCACAGCATCAATTCATATGTTTACAGTTTGACTTTTATTGTATTTTTCCTTAGGTTCTGAGTGCCTGACAACTGTGAGGTGAGTGAATTTTTTCTAACTCGTTAGTTTAGATCGTATTTGGATGTAAAATGTATGAAAAATAAGGGCGGTTAACTTTGATTGACAGCTGATAACGGGCTGCGCCGAGTGGAATTGGACGTCTTGGCCATGATCTGACACGACGCATCTCTGTATCCTTTCTGAAACATTTGTATTTCTGAACATTTGTATTTTCTATTTCTCAAGATTTTCTAATATGGTGCCGCCCATACCCCCCATAAACAGCCTCAAACCTGTTCTTCAGAAAGTCTATGAGTGACGTCACAGACGCTTTGTCCATATTTTTTTACAGTCTATGGTATTTCCATTGTATGCAACTTTACACATTTACTACTTATATTAGTTACCAACTCCATTAGGCCTGAAATATATTTTGTACGTTTTAATCCCCTGGATCATGCTACAAACATGATGATCATTGATGCGCTGTGTTCGTTATCCTATAACTTTAATTGGCACTTTGAACAGTGGCTGTGTTTTTTTTTGTTTACATAGTTTTGTTTTAACGGTCATTAATATAAGATAATACTGCAAAATACTTGTGTTGCAATGGAGCGTTTACTTCTTGTCAATATACGTTCTTTGGTTCAACCGTTTTCATTCCTCAAGATGGACAGAGATAATCGCTCCGCTGGCTTTGTTTATTCGAATGTAGCCTTGATTCCTGCTCTGACTGATAAATTAAATATTAAAAAATATATTACATTTATGAAGCAAGTTAGGCTTCGTCAAGACAGTATTCTTGCAACACGGAATCCTGCACACGTTTCTCTTATGAACTGTCTGAGAGTCATTCTTTGGTAACACTTTACTTGAAGGGGTATGCATAAGACTAACATGATGTATTATGAATATGAAGGAAGGTTTATGCATGTTTGTGACAACTGTCATTAAGTGTCTTTTGCTCAGTTATGAAAGTTTTAATGCAAATATGACATTGTTTGAGATGTCTTTGTTATGACACCTTGACATTACCAAGCAGGGATGGAAATCAACTCTTTTGTCCACCGGCGGCCACTGTGGATTTCAAAATCGACCAGCCACTCGACGTTTTTACTAGCCACTTTCTTGTTTTTAACCGACAATGTGTAACTGGTAACACTTTACAATAAGGTTCAATAGTTAATGTATTTACTAACGTGCACTAACCATGAGCAATACATTTGTTACTGCATTTGTTCATCTTTGTTAATGTTAGTTCATGAAAACACAGCTGTTCATTGTTTGTTCATGTTAGTTCACGGTGAATTAACTAATGTTAACAAGATTTTAATCAAGTATTAGTAAATGTTGAAAATAACATTAACAAAGATTAACAAATGCTGTATATGTGCTATTCATTATTAGTTCATATTAACTAATGTAGTTAACTAATGTTAACTAACGAACCTTATTGTAAAGTGTTACCGTGTAACTGCATGTGAAAGTTAATGTGTATCTACATGTGAGTTAATGTGAGAGTTAATGTGTAACTGCATGTGAAAGTTAATGTGTATCTACATGTGAGTTAATGTGTAACTGCATGTGAGAGTTAATGAGTAACTGCATGTGAAAGTTAATGTGTAACTGCATGTAAAGTTATTTAGTAACTGCTTTGAAAGTCGATGTGTAACTGCAGTGAAAGTCTATGTGTAACTACAGGTGAAAGTCGGTGAGTAAAGTGCATGTTACTGTTGATGAGTATCTGCAGATGAAGTTTATGAGTAGCTGCAAGTGGAAGTTAATGTGTAACTGCTGGTGAAAGTTGTTGAGTAAATGCTTGCGAAAGTCATATGTGTAACTGCGTGTGATAATTAATGTGTAACTGCAGGTGAAAGTACGAGTAACTTGAGGTGAAAGTATGAGTAACTTGCAAGCGAAGTTAACGTGTAACTGCAGTGAAATGGTGAGTAGCTGTACGTGAAGTTAATGAGTAACTTGCAAGCGAAGTTAATGAGTAGCTGCATGCGAAAGGCAACGAGTAACTGCAGTGAAAGTTAATGTGTAACTGCATGCGAAAGCTAATGTGTAACTGCAGTGAAAATCGATATGTAACTGCATCGGAAAATGTCCAGTAGCTGCATGCGAAAGGTAACGAGTAGCTGCATGTGAAAGATATGAGTACTTGCATGTGAAAGACGAGTAGCAAGCATGTGAAAGATAATGAGTAACTGCAAGCGAAGTTAACCGGTAACTGCATGTGAAAGTCTATGTGTAACTGCAGAGAAAGTTGATGTGGAACTGCATCTGAAAGTTGATGAGTAATTTGTAAGCGAAGTTTATGAGTAGCTGCATGTGAAATGATAAGTAACTGCACTGAAGTTAATGAGTAACTTGCAAGCGAAGTTAATGAGTAACGGCATGCGAAAGGCGACGAGTAACTGCTTGTGAAAGTTGATGTGTAACTGCATGTGAAAGCTAATGTGTAACTGCTGGTGAAAATCGATAGGTAACTGCGTGAGAAAGTTGTTGAGTAATTGCAAGCGAAAGTTAATGAGTAGCTTCATGTGAAAGTTAACGAGTACCTGCCTGTGAAAAATGATGAGTACCTGCATGTGAAATGACGAGTAACAGCATGCGAACGATAATGAGTAACTGTATGTGAAAGTTAATGTGTAACTGCATGTGAAAGTTAATACTGGTAGGTTGGTTAATGTGCAACTGTATGTGAAAGTTAATACTGATAGGTTGGTTTATGTGTAACTATGAAAGTTAATACTGATAGGTAGGTCAATGTGTAACTGCATGTGAAAGTTAATACTGGTAGGTAGGTAGGTTAATGTGTAACTGTATGTGAAAGTTAATACTTGTAGGTAGGTAGGTTAATGTGTAACTGTATGTGAAAGTTAATACTGGTAGGTAGGTTAATGTGTAACTGTATGTGAAAGTTAATACTTGTAGGTAGGTAGGTTAATGTGTAACTGTATGTGAAGTTAATACTGGTAGGTAGGTTAATGTGTAACTGCATGTGAAAGTTAATACTGGTAGGTAGGTAGGTTAATGTGTAACTGCATGTGAAAGTTAATACTTATAGGTAGGTAGGTTGGTTAATGTGTAACTGTATGTGAAAGTAATACAGTAGGTAGGTAGGTTAATGTGTAACTGTATGTGAAAGTTAATACTGGTAGGTAGGTTAATGTGTAACTGTATGTGAAAGTTAATACTGGTAGGTAGGTAGGTAGGTTAATGTGTAACTGCATGTGAAAGTTAATACTTATAGGTAGGTAGGTTGGTTAATGTGTAACTGTATGTGAAAGTTAATACTGGTAGGTAGGTAGGTAGGTTAATGTGTAACTGCATGTGAAAGTTAATACTAGGTAGGTAGGTTGGTTAATGTGTAACTGCATGTGAAAGTTAATACAGTAGGTAGGTTAATGTGTAACTGCATGTGAAAGTTAATACTTGTAGGTAGGTAGGTTAATGTGTAACTGTATGTGAAAGTTAATACTGGTAGGTAGGTAGGTTAATGTGTAACTGCATGTGAAAGTTAATACTTATAGGTAGGTAGGTTGGTTAATGTGTAACTGTATGTGAAAGTTAATACTGGTAGGTAGGTAGGTAGGTAGGTAGGTTAATGTGTAACTGCATGTGAAAGTTAATACTTATAGGTAGGTAGGTTGGTTAATGTGTAAACTGTATGTGAAAGTTAATACTGGTAGTAGGTAGGTAGGTAGGATAGGTAGGTAGGTAGTTAGGTTAATGTGTAACTGCATGTGAAAGTTATTTGTAGTAGGTAGGTTAATGTGTAACTGTATGTGAAAGTTAATACTGGTAGGTAGGTAGTAGGTTAATGTGTAACTGCATATGAAAGTTAATACTGGTAGGTAGGTTAATGTGTAACTGGATGTGAAAGTTAATACTTGTAGGTAGGTAGGTTGGTTAATGTGTAACTGCATGTGAAAGTTAATACTTGTAGGTAGGTAGGTTGGTTAATGTGTAACTGCATGTGAAAGTTAATACTTGTAGTAGGTAGGTAGGTAGGTTAATGTGTAACTGTATGTGAAAGTTAATACTGGTAGGTAGGTTAATGTGTAACTGTATGTGAAAGTTAATATGTAGGTAGGTAGGTAGGTTAATGTGTAACTGTATGTGAAAGTTAATACTTGTAGGTAGGTAGGTAGGTTAATGTGTAACTGCATGTGAAAGTTAATACTTGTAGGTAGGTAGGTAGGTTAATGTGTAACTGTATGTGAAAGTGAATACTGGTAGGTAGGTTAATGTGTAACTGTATGTGAAAGTTAATACTTGTAGGTAGGTAGGTAGGTTAATGTGTAACTGCATGTGAAAGTTAATACTTGTAGGTAGGTAGGTTGGTTAATGTGTAACTGTATGTGAAAGTTATAACTTGTGGTAGGTAGGTAGGTAGGTTAATGTGTAACTGCATGTGAAAGTTAATACTTGTAGGTAGTAGGTAGGTTAATGTGTAACTGTATGTGAAAGTTAATACTGGTAGGTAGGTTAATGTGTAACTGTATGTGAAAGTTAATACTTGTAGGTAGTAGGTAGGTTAATGTGTAACTGTATGTGAAAGTTAATACTGGTAGGTAGGTTAATGTGTAACTGTATGTGAAAGTTAATACTTGTAGGTAGGTAGGTAGGTTAATGTGTAACTGCATGTGAAAGTTAATACTTGTAGGTAGGTAGGTTGGTTAATGTGTAACTGCATGTGAAAGTTAATACTTGTAGGTAGGTAGGTTGGTTAATGTGTAACTGCATGTGAAAGTTAATACTTGTAGGTTAATGTGTAACTGCATGTGAAAGTTAATACTGGTAGGTAGGTTAATGTGTAACTGTATGTGAAAGTTAATACTGGTAGGTAGGGTAATGTGTAACTGCATGTGAAAGTTAATACTGTAGGTAGGTAATGTGTAACTGCATGTGAAAGTTAATACTTGTAGGTAGGTAGGTTAATTTGTAACTGCATGTGAAAGTTAATACTTGTAGGTAGGTAGGTAGGAGGTTAATGTGTAACTGCATGTGAAAGTTAATACTTGTAGGTAGGTAGGTAGGTTAATGTGTAACTGCATGTGAAAGTTAATACTTGTAGGTAGGTAGGTTAATGTGTAACTGTATGTGAAAGTTAATACTGGTAGGTTGGTTTATGT